TTGCCTCTTCGTTTACTGGGAAGTCAAGACCAAATCTCTTAACCTTAAACTGGTCGTTATTTCCGTAAGAGAACGACTGTATTAGCGTCCAAACATAGCCAGGCTCATGAGTCAAGTCGCAGTAGACTTGAAAAGGCTTGTTTTGCGAATCGTAAACTCTGAACCTCCCAGAAATCTTTGCGCCATTTCTTGCCACATCCTTGCAGTTACGAGGATGCTTTAGTGTCTCACACCGCTGACCAGTATAGGCGGGAGGGCAACTGCAGTTAAACCTCACAGTGGTGGGTTCACAAATCTCCTGACAGGTCCCACCCTGCAGACACGGATTGTTTTGGCAGCATCTGTTAACACAGCGGTCAATTTTGTGGTGAAAACGCCTGCCATGCTAAACACAATGAAATTCATCAGCATTAATTTCAGTGATATACCTTTTAAAGATCCCCCCGGTCACATTCTCTACGGACACCCGCTTATTACCTACACCCAGTTATTACGGACAAGTGCTCAATACGCACACCCGTTTCATACGGACACCCAGTTATTATTGAGCAACACCTGTTTATTACCGACGCCCGCTCATTGCGGATACCCGTCTATTACCGACGCCCGCTTATTAAAGACAACTTCGCAATACGCACACCCGCCTAATACGGATACCCGGTTATTACGAAGCTCCTCTTATTATGAGCAGCCGCTTAAAATGGACGTGCGCTTATTATGGACAGCCGCCTATTACGTACAATTTTGTCGAATAAGGTCCCTGTCGTTGTTCAATTTTACCCTTGGTAGAATATGATATTTCCTTTGTTCTAATGTATGATAATACATTGCATGAAGAAATGGGAAGTAACGTGTTGCATCAATCGTAAAACTGTACCACAGCATACCCATTCATTACTGGAATCAATTTTATGTACAAAGTTGGACCTTTGTAAGTTAATACCTATATAAACTACTTGTAACATGACTATGCTACTCACCAACTTTATAGACTAAGATACTTTGTGTTAAATCAAGATTAGAAATCGTTCCTCTTCTCCCTTCCGCGCGCTGTTAGTTGTTTGTTTGTTTTCTTACCTATTTTTTGTATTTAAGTTTTCCTTTCTTTTACTCTTTCTCTTTTTTCTTTTTTTTCCTTGTTTGATTTAGTTATAGTAAACGTGTATTGTCAAAATTAACTAATTCTTTTCTTTTCTTTCGTTTTCCTATTGTAAGTAAGCAGCACCTGGTGTAAATAGGTAATGTAGTATGGATGTAGTAAAAGCACAGTAGTTTGGTATTGCAATTTGTAATTTGTGGTACAAATAAATTGTTAAAGGTGTGTTACTTAATATTTTAAAATGTGAACCGTGTCGTAAACACATAAATTCTCGGAAAAATGACTCCAACAAAATTAACCTGTTTACTACGTCTTTCCTAAAAAGCTCCTTCAATTAAATTATAAAGAACAGGAAATATCCTTAATGACTATACTTACAATGATGTACTCCCGTACCAGGTCGTAATAATTTGTTCCAGCTTTATATTTCAGTGCATCTGGTTTCATGAGTTTGTTAACATCGTTCAGTTGGCAGTTGTTTCGTGGAGTGTTTTGTATGTAGTTCATTGAGATACAACGACAGTCATCTTTGCACGTCACGTGACACCAGCTGACGCTGTCCACTGTTAAGCTTTTAAACACATGACCTTGAAGGGCGTGGTCAGCGACAAGATGTTGGTCTATGAAAAATTTGAAGTTTTGACATATTTTATCTGTACAGACGAGATGTTCTTTCAGCATATGGAACGTTAAAATCAACTTCAACCAAAGCCAGGTCTTCATCATCCTCAATGCTTTTAGAGATTCAGCTAAGTTTCCTGTAAACAAGATGAGATGTATATCTGTATATGAAGTTTATTTTTCGACCATTCAACGTAATAGAAAAGGGACATCTTAGAAAACATTTCGGCTTAGTATGGATGGAGGCACACATGTTTAATATGTAGTTTGAATATGTTTAATATATGTTTTGGTTTCGAATATTTTGTGTTGTCATGGGAAAGATGACCGTGATTTTGTTGTGGTTTAGGAGTGCGACTCTTACTTTTGATTTTCATCTAAACAAGTATTGCAAATATATTCTTAAATAAAAACTGACTCTACGGCAATAGGCAAAATTAAATTATCAGAAAGTAAATTTTTTTTTTTTTGGTAAACTTAACTCGATTTGATTTTTCTCTTGCTGTTAGAGGAACGTACCTTGAAAAGGCCGATAACAGAATCGGCACAAACAGCGAGAACTTCGGCTCAGAGAGTTGACGGGCGCGTGATCTCAATCTGAAAGTTTTGTCAAAAGTTCGAAGACAAAGCCAAAGGAAAAAATTGCCTGGTATTTTGCCTTGAAAGTTCTTCGATGACAGTTCAACTCCTCAAGGTTGTTTCTTATTCTGAAAACAAAGTAATTGAATTAAAGTTGAACGGTTACGCAACCTCAAATATAACGCGATTATAGGGCTACGAAGTGGAATTCTTTTCTTTTTCTTAATTACTTTGTTGCTAGTTGAGTAGGTTTGTTTTCAAATACTCACCTTTTAATTGGAAATTTCCTACTGGGTCCACTAAAACGACCGGCGATATCTATTGTAACGAAACAAAAGGGAATAAGTATGTGAAATTATAGCGCGAAACCTGATATTTTGTCATATCGCTGGGATGGCAAGGTCAACAGTCAGTTAGAAAACTGCAAATTTTTGTAGATGCTATCTAAGTTTTGGATTACTATGAGAAATTTGACGGCAGCTACCATAGAATCAAGCATTCCAAATCAAGAGATGTTTATGCTGGAGGGTCAGTAGGGGGCCTCCCACAATATTAGTTTACCGTCCGGTTATTTATCGCTCCTATTGATTTTTTGCTGTTGTCATTGATAAATCTTTTGACAAAAGATAGCACTTGCCCTCCTTGCGACAAAAATAAATGCATTAAATTGAATAAGTTGAAGTTTGAGCGAGTTTTGACCCTTGTTTCTTTACAAACTTGGCATTGTTATTGCTTTCTATATGATTTTCTTTCCTGACAAATGTGACCGCGGATACACTAAAACTGAACAAATTCAGCGAGTAAGCCAAATAAAAATATGTATAACTTAGGCCAAAGAGGATAAAAGATTAACCAAGTTGGTTTGGATTTTTTTTTTTTAAAACAAAACAAAGCAAGCGAGCAAAGAAAATAAAACAGTTAAAAACTAGCATCATGCATGAACTGGTTGTAGAGTATTTTCAAACAAAATTAAAATTTTGTGGCAAACTTGGCCCAAAAAGTCGATAAGATCTCTGTTTATGCTTTAAGTAGTTCTTTTTATTCACCTATTGAGACAAATCTCACAGCAGGTAAACAAAAAAAAATTGCTTTTGTGTGGTGTTCAATGCCCTCTCCTAGCTAGTTGTTAGGCTTGCCACTTAAATTCGAAGAAAAAGAATTTCAAATAAACATTAAAATGAATGTATATTTGTGGCCGAAGGACGGCTATAATCACATAATCCTGTTATGACAATCAATTATTCTTTATCATAATCATTGATAAAAAGATTTCGATTCTGATTGTTTCTTAGAATGTTCTCAAATTTTCACGGAATTAGATCTCAAGCAGGTGGAAGTTAACTATTAAAAAACAAAGCGCACTGTAACTAATTATGGAATCGTATGATTGATTAGGTGGCCATTGTAAACCTTGGGAGCTATGAATGTTTTCGGCGAATTAAGGTAGCTTACTACAGTTTTGATGGATTATAACAGCTCAACTTCTAACTCTTTTGAAAAATGTTCCAAGATGTTTTTCCTTTCTCTATTTACTGTTTATATAAGTCTTTTACCATTTTATGTGAAACTTGAACAATTAAACGACGACAAATGGCCTAAATGAATGACCGAGTACCTAGGGAGAGACTGGGCACTAGTAGGTTGAATCACGTTTCTCTCAAAATTTACCCGTATGACCCCACATCAAAATTTCAGGAATAGGAAATTGGCTCTGATTTAACATTCATGCAAAGCAAAATGAAAATCTGTAAGACAGATTTTCGCAAACTAAGAAAATGTGAAATCAAAAATGGCTCAAAATCTGTCTTACAGAGTTTTTAAAAGTTTTGACTCTAAACGTGATTCACCCCTACAAATCAACTGTG